CTACGTTATTCACGTAGCTGAAGTTCCGTACCTTAGTTCGAATTAGGGGGTTAGTGTAGACCTGGCCTCAGATAATAATTTGGCATGCACACCCTCTGTCCCAGTTCAGGGCAACTGTACCTGTATTTCCCCTTCCCATGGTCCACCTAGGGCAACCACTCTAGGCTCCCAGCTCCTCAGCTGTCACCTCTTGGGTGCCTCTCTCCCTCCTGACCAGGGTTTTTCCAGGCTGCAGTTTTCTGCATATGCTGTGATATTCCCAGCAAGCCAGACAGCTTCAGAAAGGGTTGTATGGTAACTTGTAACTACTGGCAATTAAAGTTGTTCATGGCCTCTGGAGAGAAAGCAAAGTATCTTAGGTGATGTCTACACTAAGACGGTAAGTTGACCTAGGCTACACAACTCCAGCTACGTTATTCATGTAGCTGGAATCGACGTACCTTAGGTAGAGTTATCGCAGGATCTACACAGCAGGGGGTCGATGGGAGAGTTTCTCGTGTCGACTTACCTGACTCTTCTCATTGGGGTAGAGTACAGGGGTCGACTGGAGAGTGATCTGCTGTCAATCTGGCGGGTGTTCACTAGACCCAGTAAATTGACCACCAGTAGATCAATCTCAGAGCATCGATCCTGGCTGTAGTGTAGATATACACATGTATTCTTAAGGTGAAAGCTTTACAGAGAAAACATACACCCAAACTCCAACAAGGGCTCTGGTACTGGTCGGAGTCAGTCCTTTACACCCCACAAAGGGTTTTTTCTGTGGTTACACATTGGTGACAGCCTTAGCTCAGAACTAGCACAGCCATGAATCTTTCCTTTATACAGCTTGGGCCTTTGATCTTGAGACTGCACAACAGGTAATCAGAAGACAGTGGTCCTCTCCTCAGGATGTAGTTTCAAAAAGCTGGGTTTTTGCATAACCAGTGTAAGAATGGCTGGATCCAATGGGTCCATCTAGCCCACTATCCTGTCTGACAGTGGCTACTGCTAGATGCTTCAGAGAGAATGAAGAAAATAAGGCAATTTCAAGTGATCCATCCCTGGTCATCCAGTCCCAGCTTCCGGCAGTTAGAGGTTTAGAAACATCTGGAGCATAGGGTTGCATCCCTGACCATCTTGGCCGAGAGCTATGGCCCTACCAAATTCATGACAGTGAAAAACATGTCACAGACCATGAAATCAGACCTCCCCCATCAAATCTAGCTATTGGAGGGACAGGGCTGGGGGTGTCCCAGCCAGGGGGTCCTACCATTCACTGGGCTCCACCTGCTAGCCGCCAGGCTGGGGAGGGACAGGACTTCCTCTTCCCTTGCACAGCCACTCTTGGGGGGAGAAACTGCAGAGCTACAATTGATTTGCAAACTTAACACCATTAATTTGGGCTTGAATAGGGATTGGGAGTGGATGGCTCACTAAAAAAGCAATTTTCCCTCTCTTGGTATTGACACCTCCTCATCAATTATTGGGAGTGGACCACATCCATAGGCACCGACTCTGTGGGTGCTCTGGGGCTGGAGCACCCACGGGGAAAAATTAGTGGGTGCTCTGCACCCACCAGCAGCCAAGCTCCCCTCCCCGCCTCACCTCAGCCTCCTCCCCTGGGCACACCACATCCCCGCTTCTCCGCCTACCTCCCAGCGCATGCCACCCCAAAACAGCTGTTTTGCGGCATATCAAGCTCCGAGGAGGGAGGGGAGAGGAGCAGGAACGTGGCACACTCAGGAGAGGAGGTGGGGAAGAGGCGGGGCTGGGGAAGGGGTTGGAATAGGGGCAAGGAGGGGGTGGGGACTTTGGGGGAAGGGTTGGAATGGGGGTGGGGCAGGAGTGGGGTAGGGGTGGAGTCAGGGCAGGACCCAGGGCAGAGGGGGGTTAAGCACCCACCGGCGCCAGCAGATGTTGGCACCTATGACCACATCCACCCTGACTGAATTGGTCCTGCCAACACTAGTTCTCCACTTGTAAGGTAACTCCCTTCTCTTCATGTGCCAGTATATTTATGCCCGTATCTGTAATTTTCACTCCATACATCTGAAGAAGTGGGTTTTTTACCCATGAAAGCTTATGCCCAAATAAATCTGTTAGTCTTTAAGCTGCCTCCTTATTGTTTTTGTGGATACAGACTAACATGGCTACCCCTCTGATAAATAGCAGTATACTCCCACAGCAACCTGGATGGCGATGGCATGGGCTAGCAGTTCAGGTATGCACCCAGGGTGACCAGATGTCCCGATTCTGGGGTCTTTTTCTTATGTGCTCCTATTGCCCCCAACCCTTGTCCCAATTTTTCACACTTGCTGTCTGGTTACCCTACCAGAGTCCTTCATGGGGTTGCTTGTACTCAGGAGTTAGCCTGTGCTGGCTAGGTTAAAGCTAGCTTGCTATTCACGCAAGCAATCAGCCGGTGAGACTTCATCTTGGTGGACAGCAAGCTAGCTTTAACCTAGCTAGCACAGGCTAACTACAGGAGGGTTAGCACAGTTCAACAACTGCCCCGCCCGCACGCAGAGGTCTGCTGGCAGGCTCAGAATAATCCAACCCCCACCCCCGTTGGAACCCGATACAAGCGCCTCTGAGCCCGCAGCTACAGGTCCTATAGAATGGGCTGACCCGCACTGACAAGGCAGAGGGAGACCCCTGAATTGCAGGAGAGATAGAACATTCCATACGCATCCCCGGGGATTAGAACGTTCTAATCCCCTCCACCACACCTGACGTGCAAAAGGGAATAGAACCTTCCACTGCTCTATCCTGCAGGAAGAGTAAAATCCTACCATTCTCCCCCCCACCCTTAAGGGCCCAGCAGAATATTCCAAACACCCGCAGGCGCGGGGGGGGGGGGAGAGCGCCCTGCAGGCACAATGAAACCGCCCTGGTTCCCTCCTCCCCCGCTAGCAGTGACCCTGCAACCCTAGAATTCTGGCATCCAGGAAGCTCGTTACGGGAAGCCCCGCCTCCTTCGCGACGTCAGCCCCCTGGCTGGCCCGGGCCAATGGGTGTCCGAGAGAAAGACAGTGACCCGTGCTGCCCGTACAGGACGGGATCGGGAATATGGTCCAGGCCTGGGCTGACGCCGCTACTTAGCGAATGGCTGAGCGGGACCCGTACCGTGCCTGGGCCGTGAGGGATGCGGAAGGTAGGGCAGGGGCTCCCCAGGAGCGTTAGGGAACTGGGGGGAGGTGGGCTGTCGGGCAGGGGCTGCGTGCGGCTCCTTTCTCCCCGGAGCCCCTTCTCGTACACTCTTCACCACCACCACCACCACCCCGCCCGATAACGTGCTCGGGCTACAGGCCTCACGGTCTCCCCTCCTCCCACCGGGTGTTTCTGTCCGGGTCCCCGTGCCGGCTTTGCTGGGCCCGCTCGGGCCGGCGCGCGCGTTGGGTGAGGCGAGCGTGCTGGTGCGGAGCCAGCAGAGCAGACCCTCCGCGGTGGCCGTTGAGACGGTCCGTTAACGGTCCCCGTGGCGCCGGCGGAGCCGGGAGCAGAGCGGCGGCCCCGGGTGGGGTGGGGTGGGGTAGGGTAGGGGGTGTCTGTCTGGCAAGAGCCAGCTCGGCCGCCGCGCTGTCCCGCCAGCTGATCGTGCCCGGAGCTGGAGAGCGCTGCCAGGGCGGGTGGGTGCCTGGGGAACTGAGATAACGGCAGGTTTCAGAGTAACAGCCGTGTTAGTCTGTATCCGCAAAAAAGAAGAACAGGAGGACTTGTGGCACCTTAGAGACTAACAAATGTATTAGAGCATAAGCTTTCGTGGACTACAGCCTATGCATCCCAAGAAGTGGGCTGTAGTCCACGAAAGCTTATGCTCTAATAAATTTGTTAGTCTCTAAGGTGCCACAAGTACTCCTGTTCTTCTTTTTGAGATAACGGCGTTTTTACTAGTGCTCCCGGCTGCTTTGCCGATGTCCTGACTTCCCGAGCGCGCAGCACAGGGAGCCGGAGGCTGCAGCCCCGTGGCGCGGGTTTAAAAGGCAACCTGATGGTGCGCTTGCGAGCGTTTTTTTTCCTTTTCCCCTACAACTACTTTTTGATTATTCTGGTCCTTCCATCACATTCAGAAAGGTAGACGTGTAATGCTGGAAAGAGGCGGCCTGTAACCTCTTCTACTCCTGTTTATAACCCAATCCCTGACATTAATGAAATGGCATCCTAGTTTGGCACCCAAATACCCTTCAAGATAACTTGTGAAAGCAGTATGAATGTTGGCATTAAGTAACAGCCAATAATAAAATGCTTCAAACCACACGGACACATTGTATGCAAGGTGTAATTACGTTAGAGGATTTTTTTATGCTATGTAAGGGTGACCCAGTAGAATGGGAAGCTGGCCGGGGAGTTGCAAGACATTGGTTCTGTTCCCAGTTCTGCTGCGTGCCTGCTGTGTGGCCTTGGGCAAATCAGTTTGCTTCTTTGTACCTGTTTTCCCATATATGAAATGGGATTAGCTGTGCTTTGACTTCCTTTTTAAAGCTCTCTGAGCTCCTCGGAGGAAAAGTGCAAGGAAAAGAGACAAGTATGATACTTGTTAATATAGGTAACTTTTTAATTGAAATACACTATGATGAGGTTGGGGGGAGAGAATGGAAATTTAAATGTTTTAAAATCTCTAACCAAGTCAAGAGAGCACAGAATCAAAAATGGAGACGGATTCCTGGAAGTAAAGTATTAATCAAAAACAAAGCTTCAATATTTAGCTACAAATCTGAAAATCTGAGCTTTTTTTCTAGGGTTATATACAGTTTTTCCTTCTACTTATACAGTACTGTAACTACTTAAAGATAACAGATTTGTATGATTCTACTCTGATGAAATTGGTACTATTGTAATCAACTAGCCTTCTGCCTCCGTCTATTAAGTCATATGCTTACTTGAATAAATTAAGCTTATACCACTACCTACTCTTCTTAACATTGGAGAGCTAGTACCACCATATGAGAGGGAACTGATTTTTTTTCTGCCGCCCTTTATAAATAAAACTGTTGGATGAGCCCAAAAGAACAAACTTGATTTTCAAATACAAGATTGAATATCTAGGGCTAGTAGAAAACATTTTTTTATTTGTAAACTGAATAGATTAATCCCTATTGGTGACTTCAAGTTCAAAACATGCGCTGTTTTTTACATAGTTTAAAGTCTGAAAAGTGACTGCAGTTTTACAGAAAGTTATCTGTATACTACATCTATTATCTCATATAAAGTGTTGAGATCTGCAGTACAGGGATATAATAGTAGTTCAATTATGTTCCTTAATTTATTGCAAACTAAGATTTAGTGTAATTGACTTCAGTTTGACCAATTTTTAAAGTATTAGTAATCACAGACTTTTTTCATTATGTCACTACTGATACTATAGGAAAACGTTAGATGAATACAGCAAGTTTCCTTTAAAGGAACTGAAGGAGACAAACTGAAGAACCGTCTCATCTGGTAGAAAAGGCAAAAAACATACTGCTTGATACATATTTGCCACATGTTGATTTGATACTTAAAATGTGAAATGGATTTAAGATTCCACCATGAAGTGTACTGCAAGTGAGGGGGGGTATGTCTGTATTTCTCAGTGAATTCAATTTATTTGAATATATATTCTTTATAATAATGCCAAGAAATGTATAGAAAAACAATTTTGCAATAGCATGTAGGAGATTGTCCAGAAAAGTTGAAATGACACTTTACATTTAGTTGTCAGAACATTTACATTCTTATTTGAGCAAACAAGGAAAATAGACCACTTGGCTAGTAATGGTAACATAACAGCCTTGATCCCTTGCTTGTTAGACAGACAGAGCTGTGAAAGCAATTTGTGAGGCCCTTGGAATCATCACTTCTTTGATACCTTTTTCCTTTTCTTTTCTTGTCATTTTGTGACTGACTGAAATAAGTTAGGAAATCTCTTTTTGTGCAGCAGCTTGGGACAACCTAAAATCTACTGTGGACAAGCGAAAATGTAATTGCTTCCTGTCACACACTGCTGATCTGCACTTAAGATGCCTGTGTTTCTCTGCTGACCAGGCAGTTCTGCTCAACACTGGAAATGAAAACTGGCCTGCCCTAGGTTTTGTTCACTGGGCCCTCTACTTGCTAAATTCTCCCTTGAGTTTTCTAGTATCACATTATTTATAGAGTGCACATATCGGACTTTTGTATGTCCTTGACTTGTCAAGTACACATTGGGGAGCAACTGCTGTTCAATGCCATTTATTGTACATGGAGAAACTAAGGTGGAAGGTCAGTCTTTTTCAGATGTACTAGTCAGTCATAACACCCAACATTTTAAGTGGAAGTCAGATCAGAAGCTTGTTTCTGGGATTGGTGATTGAAAAGCAACCACATAACATAGACTAGCGTTTATTTTTGTCCCAATTGAGTTTGTGGATAAGAGGTAGCAACAGCAGTGTCTCTGTTCTCCTCATCCCCAGCATAAAGTCTTAAAGTCACAGAGCAGGATGGATTGATTTTAATCAAAGCAAACTGAATCACCGATTTTAACCATGATTTCAATCAGCAAGCAGGAAACATTGATTTAAATTATTTAATCTTGTTTTGCATTTCTACTTTTTGATAATTCTCTTAGAGAGGTTGACTTTTGGTTGTTAACCGTTAAAACACATTGAATTAATCATAGTCTTTACACTAAATACTTTTTTGCTGACCAGGAGGATACACTCTATCTATATAGTTATATATCTTAACATACATCTATTCAGATTCTTGTCTTACTTTTTTATGTTAGATAATGCTGAATGATGCATTTCCTAGTTATTACATTTTTTTATTCAAGCTCTATTTGTATGGAAATTGGAATTCAATTAAAAATGCACAAACAATATTTTTTTAATTAAATAAAACTTAAATGCGCTGGATACATTTTTTCTTATTAAAACATGATTTTCATTTACAATTGATTTATTAAATGAAAAGTATTATCCACATTGAATTGAGCTGGAGACCATGTCCTTAATGAGTTTAGAGCTAGTAGATTTTATCTTCTTATACCTAGTTTTTATTCATAGAATGGAAGAAAGAAACCAATGTTTCCTACATTTTCAACTCACAGTTGGCTTCATTTGAGCAAACTAGTCGTTGAGCTGAACTGCATCTGACGAAGTGGGCATTCATCCACAAAAGCTTATGCTCCAATACATCTGTTAGTCTTAAAGGTGCCACAGGACTCTCTGTTGCTTTTTACAGATCCTGACTAACACGGCTACCCCTCTGATACTTTAATAGTTAGGTGATGCTTTGACGTAGATTGTCATAATTTTCAAATTTAATATTAAATAGTTTTATTTTAGATTTTTAAAAGAATAAATCTGATGATGTTATTGTTTACCCATCCTGGAGCAGAGGCTCTACCACAAACCCATATTCACTTAAGAATCTTCTCCCTTTCCATCCCAGTCTTTTAACAAGAAAGCATAGTTGTCTCTGAATCTGGAATGGTGTTTGAATTTTTAAGTGATGAGAAAAGTACATAACAAGTAATAAGTGAACTGAATGACAAAATATAAGTCCAACCATGCAAGATACATACTGTACAAATATGTCTAGTGTTCAACACAACTTTATTTTTACAAGACTTAATTTTGTCTACCAAAAAAAAGACCAGATTTCTTTTTGGGCACATAACTATAACATCCAGAGTACCATTAATAAATCATTTTAAAAAATTAAATTAAAAAATCCTAACATGGACTACAATAACAGGTTTGCTGATTCAGAAGCTAGTAATTACAGCCATTCTCATGAGAGAAGATAGCCTTGACATCTCAGATTGTGGGTAATGAATGGGAGGGTAAATCTTTTGGGGAACATGGAGAAATCCTTGCCAGTTGCCTGGATTCAGGTAAGCACTGAGTCATTGTAATTATGATGCTGTAGTCCACTGGAATCACAAACTACTTGTTTCACTACCTTGTTGAGAGTCTTATAATTAATTTTTCAGTGCAGAAGGCTTGAGACCTGATTCTCCACTGCCGCCATCCCTCAGTAGTCACTTACATCAGTGCAGCTATGTTAATAAATTAGATTTCCCACTAAGTTACAGTAGTGGTAGCACTATATATTCCCTCTGCAGAGGTGTAAATTATTACCCAAGGTGTAATGCAGTAGAGAATTGAGACCCTAGTATCTATAGGGTACATGAGAGCTGCATAGGAAAGAACACATTTTTATGTCCTAAACTAAACAATGATCTGGAAAAGAAGGAATTGTGGGTCTACAAGTTATTTTAAAAGGATGAAGTAATCTTCCATTTTCTCTATTTAACTTCTTCAGCTGTTATATGAAATTACCCGGTCTCTTTTGGCAAAAAGAAATATTCATCTTAAAAGTTTTTAATACTGTGTACCTTTATCGAGAGTCTAACTATTCAACTTTATTTTCTGTATCTTTTTTTAATTTATGTTCTGGAATTGTCTGGTTTTTTAATTACTGTGATTGAACTAGAACAATATGAGGTTAAAACAGATTTTTCTTTTCTAATAGACTGTTATAAGTACCATTAAGCATAGGTCAAGTTCTGACACCCATGGCTTTTAATAGCTTACAGCACATCTGGGATTTGTTGTTTTAACCAGAAAATGTTGTGTAATTGCCAAAATACAAGTCACATATCATCCAGCAATTATAATCAATATTCAGAATTCTGGTTATACCTACTAAATGAACCAACACCATGTTATGGTGGTTGCCTCTTTTTTCCTCCCAGTCATGGATAATAGCAACAAAACACATTTTGGGGATTACAAACATCTAGCATTTGTATTCTTACCTGCTTTACATAGAAACTGCTTGCATATGAGCTAAACATATAAGATTTAAAAATCTTTATATCCAGTAGGTGAAACTGACACTAAAATATGTGCTTTATTATGAAAAGCCTAGTGCATCTCCAAAATATGATTGCATGTAGCTTCCAGCTTCCATTAGAAAATCCTATTTAAAACTCCCCCACATCAATAACCCATCAAACCCAAAGAAAAGCAGTTTGTCCAAGATTGCTATATTTACTCTAAGGTAAATGTTTCAGAGAAAACTGGCCAAACTGTCTTTGCATTACACGTCTTTTTTTAAGTGCCCTGATTTGAAACTACTGACTTCTGTCTCCATGTTCCTCAAAAATAGTTTGTCACTATTTCTTATGACTTTCCTTAAGGTTAAATTTGTGCACCAGATATACACCTGTACCCCGATATAACGCGACCCGCTATAACACGAATTCGGATATAACGTGGTAAAGCAGTGCTCTGGGGGGGCGGGGCTGCGCACTCCGGTGGATCAAAGCAAGTTCGATGTAACACGGTTTCATCTATAACGTGGTAAGATTTTTTTGGCTCCCGAGGACAGCGTTATATCGAGGTAGAGGTGTACTTTAAAAAAAATAGGTTGTAATTGAAGCAATGTTACTTAATGATTTTTGTTGTAGTTAGCTTTGAGGCCTCATCCTACCCCTTTTGAAATCAATGAGGAGTTTGCCGCTCGCTTTAGTGGGAGCAGCACTGATCATGGTAGACTTGGTTCTCTACTGCATTGCACTTTATGTACTGATTTTACACTTACACAAAGTAAGTGTGTGTGCGTGGGGAGTGGGGGAAGAGAAAACACTGTTCTGATTTGGTACTTTCCTTGTATACTTTGCCACATATGGAATAGAAGTTTGAGTGTATAGGCTTGAGTTCAGTGCATGGATGCACAGTTTAATTCCATGCCCGTCTATTTATATCATGTAGGCGTGCTGTTTTTCCTGCAGTGATTGGAAAAAAGGTGTGTGCTTTTCCTTCTTCCATCCTGACTTTCTGCAGGGTATCAAGGGTTGCAGCAATAAAGGGAAGCTGGTGGTCACACAAGTGCAGTAAATGGAAACTATATAAAATCTTTGTTTTTTACAGGAACTATATGCAAAATGTCTTCTCGGTGGAGCTGGGTGATGAATGCTTTATATATTTCCCTGAGTGTTTGCTCTCTTGGAGGTAAGACTAAATGAAAATGTTGGACAGGTCATGGACTTATTAGAGCAACTAGCTGTTGCTAATGATGATTATGTTGCAGTAGTGCCTAGTGGTCCCAATGAGGAATTAGGGCACCATTGTGCTAGCTATTTGTAGAAACAAATAATCCAAAGAGACAGAGTTCTCACTCAATTATGGCTACTGGCATTGATGTCCTTTTAGCCAGCTGATCTCAAAAAAACAAATTAAAATTAGTTCCAGGTACTGCACCTGAAGCTCTGTGGTCACATTTTCCTATGGTCTCTCCCTTGTTGCTGTGGGAAGAGCAAAGCAAAAGGCAGAAATTGACTGTCCAGAGGCAGCACTGGAACAGATTAGAGACAGTGCTGTCAAATGCACAGAGTTAATAAACTGGAAAAATAGATGTTTCTTAAAACTGCCAATTATCGCAGTCTTCTTTAACGTATAACATTCTAGGTAAAACATTCATACATATAGAATTCCTCACCTTAAATTACACATCTAAGAATGAAATAAAGGAGAGATTGAGCATTAGTTTTTGGAGGCACTTTCTTCTCTGAATTATACCTCGTAAAGGGTGCAGTCTGAAAGTACTTTTATCCCAAAAGATATGGTGTTCTTCCCCATTTATAATTTTTGTCTCTTTTTTTGCACCACCATCTTCTATCTGATGGATAACAGATGCTGTTATTGATTAGATTAATTCTTTTATTTTTTGTCTCATACTATAATTTTCTGTTTCCATGTCTGCTTCGTTTTTCCACCTGTTATTCTTTCTTTCCTTTGTCTTCCTGTTTTCACTCTGTCCCTGTTCTCCCACCTTCCTACTTTGCAGACACAAATTTTGTGTTTTCTTTATCTCCCAAAAAACCAGCCTCTAATGCAGCAATGCTGTCCTGCGTAGTTGGCTACACTACTGCAGCACCTCTGAGTGCTTTGCTTCCTACTTTGCCCACATGCTTCCAGCAAAGGAAGGTGAAGCTGCAGACTGGGTCACTAGATGTGACATAGTGGTTCTCAGGCAGGCTGGCTCACTCATAACCACCGCTTCCTCTTCAGGAAAATCGAGAGTGATACCCCAGTACATCTCTTCAGTGGGATAATTTATGTGGTGTCATTCATGGACGCTAAGTAGCAACTTTAAATCTGTAATTCTTAGACTAGTGATCTATTAATGTATGCTTAATTTGCATACTGAATACCTGAACAGATTAAAAAAGTGGGTTTGTAACTCATTCCCCCTTTAGTATCTGAGGCCTACGATAGTATATGTAATCAATAAATCCTGTGCCAGTTGTGGTAATTCTTACATTGTTTCTGCATTTCAGTATCCAGATTGTTTGTACTTTTCTCTCTCTTCAGTAGAGCTCTTAATTATTTTAGGCTCACAATTGTGAGAGTCATGAAGCGTTCCCTTCAAAAGAAGGGAATTAATGTGAGTCAACAGAAAATGCCACATTGAGTGATTGCACATGTCAATTCCACTGTCGGTGTGTGCGTTCCAGTGCAGGGTTGTCAGTTTTTCCCTTTAGCAGTGCCCATCGGGGTGGCATGAGTGTCGTCTGGTGCCTCACGCACTGCATGCCGGGATTAAGGGCAGAGCCACCCGCAGCCTCCCATGACGGTTGTTGGAGCTCCCTTTCCTTGAATCTGCAAGTCTTCAGTTGAACTTGTAAATAGTACATGTTGTATAGTTAGTATAGTTTTAGTAGTTAGTTGATTAGTGTTTTAATCACTTTAGTGTTTTAAAAAAAAATTTTGTTTTGGTTACCAGGCCTGTTACCAGCGAGATGCCTCCCTCTCTGGGTATCAAGCCCTGTGGTAAGGTAATGCCTAATAGCGACCTTCACCCCAACTGCTTTAAGTGCTTGGGGAAGGCTAACATGAGTGACCAATGTGGCATTTGTAAGGGCTTTAAGCCCCATTACAAAAAAGACAGGGCAACTAGATTGAAATATCTGCTTCTAGAATTGGCACTACATCCTCTTATCTGAGACATCTACTTAGGTCCGAGTACCAAGCACCTTGGCGTCACTCCATAGCACGCCTCCAGTGTTACTAGTACGGCAGGGCAGATTGGCATTACTGATACCAAAGAAGAGGCATAAGAAACTGGACTCTGTACTGGGATCATTGAAAGAGGTGAAGAGGTCAAGCTGTTCTAAGGAATCATGAGGGCATTCAAAGCGGACACACTCCCCAGAGTACACCTCTAAGTGCTGGAGTTTGATTCTAGAGCCCAGTACAGGTCTGCAAGACTGGCTCCTGAAACACCCTCGTTGAGATTACCTCACTGTTTTCCCAGTACCATCTGCTCCTGAAACAATTGAGGCTGCAAGAGAGTTGTTCAAGCTCTTGGTGCTGCTGTCACCAGCAGTTCAAAAGACTTGCCTGGCACCCAAGGGACTGATGTCAGTGGCTTCACCTCTGCACTGCACAGTTCTAGCTGATTCACCCATCAGGGTATCGATTAAAGTGGTACCGTTTAGGGGAAAGCCACAGATGATCTCCCCAGTTCCCCTTCAGAGTCTGAACCTTCTTCACTGGTATTGATGGGTACAGCACCACTTTGGCTGCAGGAAGTCATTATCTTCACTGGACTCTGAAGAAGTGTGTCAACCTATCTGATCCCACTGTTGGGTTATACCACCTACCCGCCCTGATTTCAGACTCAGTACTAGTAAGGGGGTTATTGAAAGGACCCTGGGACCATGCACCTTTGGGAACCAAGGCCATAACAATGGCCCTTTTGGAACAGGTGGGAGTTCACTTCACCCTTTGCCCCCCAATCAAGAGCATCCCTGAAGCTACCTCAGCTGGGTCTATCTACTGGCTGTCTAGCATTAATGCTGCAAGCACCCTAGGGTCAGATTTGAGATCCCTCTCATGAGCAGCCACAAGAGGAGCAGGAACTGGACCAACCCTCAGTACCATAGGCCTCCTCTTCGTCATCCCCCAATGAATCAGTTGTAAGTGAGCTTCAGACTTTTATGTTGGAGCCTCTTGTACTCAGTTTTTCAAAGACAAAGTGGCCCTATGGTGGTATCCAAAATTTATGTCAAAAGTTGTTTTGCAGTTTCACTTAAACCAAGTGATTTACTTGCCAATAATCGTTTCCTAAACTATATTTGAATTCACATGAACAACTTCTTCAGATGTTGGAGGTGAGACGATGTCTGGCATTTTTCTTAGAGGGGACTAATCCTTTTTCAGGTCTCTCCTCAACTTTTTGTCTCCTATGAAGGGTCAGGCAATCTCTTTGCAGACTACTTTCAAATGGCTCCTGCATTACCATGGCATATGAAGTATCTTAGTCTGTGCCCCACAGACATTACAGTCTCATTTGAAATCCCAAGCAACATTGACTGCATTACTCACCAATATTTCAATATTGGACATTTGCAGGTCTGCGATATGGTCTTCAGTACATGCTTTTACCAAACATTATGCTGTTTCCGCAGCATCTCTATCAGATGCAAACGTTGGCAAGGCAGTTTTAAAGTCATTGTTGAAATGGACTCTGAGCCCCACCTCCTACAAGTACTGCTTGTGAGTCACTTGAATGGAATACACATCTGCAGCCATTCGAAGAAGGAAAGACAGTTCTGTAACTGTTCTTCAAGATGTGGGTCCAGACATGTATTCCCCACCCCTGCATCAGTGTCTTTGCCCTTGATGTTCAGTGCAAAGGAACCAAGAAGAGTGCTGCTCTTAAATAGCCTGGGGAGGGGCTAATGTCCACAGGGCACAAGCGCTGACCCTATGGATTCGGTGTACTGGGCGCACACAGTCCGGAGTAGAATACGTGTCTGCATCCACATCCCAAAGACCAACAGTTACAGAATAGGCAAAATAGGTAACTGGTTTTTTGTGATTAGTTGTATGAAGTCCACTGCCTTCCTAGTGAGAAATATAGATGACCTGCATATGCCCCATGATTGGGCTTTGCTAGCTGGTCACCAGTTGACTGACTCAGAAAAACAAAAGTTCTTTTGTTTGGTTCATTACATGTCCAGGGGAATTAAGTATGGCAAATAACTGCTCAGTGGGAATCTAAACAGATATGGATTGTATTCATTATTTTAATGAATATATATTCCATTCATTTCAATATACTATATCAGGGTGGGCAATAATTTTCTCAGGGGGCCACTCCATGAATCTTGGTAAGTTGTCATGGGCCGTACATTTCTACTATATTAATGGAGGGAGTGCGGGGTCTGGGAGGGAGCTTGGGTGCAGGAGGGAGGGAGTTTGGGTGCAGTAGGAGGTTCTGACCTGGGGCAGGAGTTTGGGGTGTGGGAGGTGATGCGAGGTGCAGGCTCAGTCTGGGAGGCACTTACCACAGGTGGCTTCCGGCTGGCGGCGCAGCAGGGCTCAGGCAGGCTGAGGGGCAGCGGGTCTCCGTGTGCTGCCTGCGCCCACAAGCACCCCCCCTGCAAGGAAACCAGCCAATGGGAGCTGTGAGGATGGTGCTGGGGCAGCACATGGAACTGCCTCCCCCACCACCAGGGGCGTGCAGAGACGTGCCAGCAGCAGCCGGCCGCTTCCGGGAGCAGCGTGGGGCCACAGCAGGCAGGCAGCCTGCCTGAGCGCCCCACTGCACCGCAGGACTTTTAGCAGCCCAGATTCAGAGAACACGAGGGGGCAGAGAAGGCCTGACAGAAATGTTAGTCATGGCTGTATTTTGCCCACTCCTGTGCTAAATAGAGATTCATTAAAAGAAGAGAAAAATAACTCCTGAATTTCCTAAAAATATGATTGTTGTGGTAATTGCTGCTCAAGCAACTTTTCGGGGGTGGGGGGGACTGAATAATTTCAGAAGTCACGTTTTTGATAGAGCACCTTTTAAAATAGTATATACAGAATTTTTATAATGGGTATTTTTGTTGTTTACAAAGGTCTTTCCAGCAGTGGGGAGAGGATGAGTGTAGGAGAAAAAACAAAGATAATTAAGCATCCTATCTTTAATCTCATTTTCTCTGTCTCTGTCATTTCAGTTCCAGTTCTTCTGTTGTTACTGGTAACATTCTCTTGCAATACCCGAGGAAGAGTATGCACACGAACTTCCCCAAATCAGTGCATGAGTGATTTGCTCGTGCCAGTGCATTAGACAAGAAATACACTGTATTGTGCAAGTCAAGTGTAACTGTCTATACATATATACTGCCAGGTGCACAAAATAGTCTCCACAAATATTTTTCCTAATCTTTCAGTAGCAATACTGTTAAAGATTATTTGTAACAATAGTAATACAAAGATTTCATATGGAAATGTGATATTTCAAATTGATTTTATACCTTTTAGTTTCAGGTGGACTTGTACAGTCATGTGGTTACATCATCCCAGAGTCTCCAGTGTTGACCCTTGGCTCCAATTTTACAGCATTGTGCATTCTCAATGAGAGTTGTCTTGACTTTGGCAATATACATGCCAATCAGATTATTTGGAAAATCAAAAATTCTGTAGTGCCTAAAGAACAATACCATGTAATAAACAGAACTGTTTCCAGTGTCACATTTAGTGACACCTCTACTTTAGCTACTCCTCTGACATGCAACGTTTTAGCAGATGGACAGATTGAGCAGAATATCTATGGAATTGCAGTTACACTGGGCCGTAAGTAGCTTTTTATTCCTCTCTTTTTCTTCTTTGGACATTATAAATTTCCCATTAAATGTTTATGTACTGAGAGATACTGTATAATGTTGGCAAGTTTCCATTTTCTTTTCTGCCTTGTAGAAAATGTTTTTCAAGGACATTTTGGTGTATCCTCTTAAAACCCTTCTTCCTCTGGAACAATTGTACAAAAAATCTCCCAAAGCTAAACACACAGAACAAATGAAAGTACTTTGAAAAAGATGATCCACAAAGCAGAAAATACATTAAGTATTTCATATATGTAAAAGGGTACCAAGAGAACTGCACATGCATGAAGCTCTGTGAAGAAAATGTGAACGTGTCACAATGAAAATGGTATCTCTTAGAAATCATTGAGCTGATGAAGGGCTTGATAGAAAGAATGTGGTTCTTGAAGAGTCTTATTTTTCTAAAGCATATTTTTAATGATTGTGTCTCATTCTCACAATATCTGTTTGGGTTTTAACTTATTTTTTTTTCTTTTTAATAATGTTCATAAAACTTCATGTTCAGTTTCTGATGGCGTTATCAACTGACGTGCTCTTCATCATGTTCACACCTGTCAAAATTGCATATTATCATTGGAATGCAGTAGTTGTAGAAAGAAACTATTCTTCAGAAATTATATTGCAACACCACAAATAGCAATCCTCTGGAAGTTAGTGGTAGGAGACTAGAATATTTCTAACATATATAAATGAGAAATCCAACTCCAAGGTTACTTAACTCAGCCATGCGCGGAGTACCATGTTGTCTGTCTTAGTACTTGCAACATGATGAAGAACAAAATGTAGTGCAGAAAACACATGCTTAGGCCCCAAGCAATAAAAATATCTGGAGATTAGGTGTGGGCTCTCTATATTGGGATGAATTTTACCCATTTTTACCCATTCTGCACATGGTATCTTGTGTATGTGAGAGAACCTATCTATAGTAATAAGCCATTATGATCTGTTAACATCTTCATAGCTTAAACTCCTGAAATATTATCAATACTACAGCAATGTGTGGTCTCTTATTTCTTTTCCTTCACAAACCGATCTGCTGTCTCACTACTCCGTTGCTGCCTTCCATTCCAGTGCATTCTGTGCTAGCCTTCTAGGCCTTGCCCTGTCCCAAATTTCATTCCATCCCCAAATCATATGCTTTCTGTTCAGTGATGACTCCTACCACTACAGACTTTTTTTTTCAAGGCATCTATGCATTATACTTCACTAGATCTTCTCTATCTCCTAATATTTAGCATTTACTAAATGCAGCAGTAAATAAATTGTTTCCCATTTTAACTAAATTACTCTTGCAACTGTGTATTCATCGCTGCTTTCATTGGAATCAAATGTATGTGCACATAAATTACATATAGTAACTTTTTTCATACAGTGCCCCCAGAGAAGCCTGAAAATTTGAGTTGCATTGTGCATCAGATGTCAAAAACTAAATTTATTATGACTTGTACCTGGAATCCTGGAAGAGATACATTCCTAGCCACTGATTTCCGTTTAAAATCTCAATGGTAAGTATCTTGTCTAAGCTTTATAAAAGGCAGGTATATCCCATCTTAATCATTTTTAGCGTTTTGCATGTAGGCTAAATAAAACTGTTCCAATACTTGTTAAACTTTTTAAAAGAATATATTTTTGTTAGACTGTAAATCTAGACTTTTGAGGCTGCTGTAGCCTGTTTCAGGGTAAAACATTTGACAACTCAAGTTTGTCCTACAGTTTAAGATTTTAAACTTAAGCAAATAAAATGATTTTTCTCCAAGACCGAGAAAGTGCAGGGAAGAGAGTCTTGTACAGATCTCATTGGTATTAAGCTATTGTACAGCTTGAACCAGATTCTGCATAAGTTATGGGTATTTCTGTGACAAGCATCGCTGTAACTGATGCTGAACAGGTAAATAAATCTGAATGGTGATAGTCCAGTGGCTTATGTTCTTTACCCTTGAAGATAGCTTTTTTTTTTGTTGGATGTCTGCTTTTTTTAAATTATTATTATTAACCTTGATTCTGATTATGGTGGGAAAGTTGTGAGCTGCTCAAATTGCTTCTACTCTCCCACTGGTATTACTTCAGTCTTGCTTAGGTTCAGTTTCAACCAGCCAATTGCTTTGCATCCAGGAGTTAGTATCTCTTTTAATTGTAACTAAACTTCTCAAGGTAGGCAATGGTAATATCTGTTCAAAATTAGATGAAAGCTGGGTGGTGTGGGTGTCGTCAATGAATTGTTCGCTACAGGGTCCATTGCATGTCTGAACCTCTTCAGGAGATCTCATGTAGATTACTGGGGTGGATGCAAGACTCCCCAGCTGATCAGTTTTAGGGAAGAGGAATAGATTCCCATCCCAATTCTGGGTAGCTTTTGAAAAGAATTGAAGCCATTGTGGTTATGTGTTGTCTACTGCAGCTGTGTCTTGTAAGCAAGTCAGTGGCACCTTGTTTTCATAGATTCATAGATTATAGGACTGGAAGGGACCTCGAGAGGTCATCGAGTCCAGTCCCCTGCCCGCATGGCAGGACCAAATACTGTCTAGACCATCCCTGATAGACATTTATCTAACCTACTCTTAAATA